CACCTTCATTCGTGAAAAATCCTCGTGTTCTTTGTACAGCAGATAACAAAGGCCTGTAAATACTTTGCTAAACTATTCCCCCATTTTTGAAGGCGGATGGAGAGTGGGAAAAAATAAGAGCGGAAAAAAATGTTTCTAAGGCTGAAGTGAATCAGGATATTGCTTAGGAGTGCAAGACTGAGAACAATTTTGACACAACAGATTCAGCATCGCAGCTTTAGGTAAAAGGCATTACAGGCATTGGCAGTAACTCAACCAATGTCTCTGGTTGCCTCTTCGTCTATATCCGAAACCCATCCTTATGTATGCCGAGCACTGAGAAAAGCTATATTTGGATCAGATGGTGGCAGGGAGAATACACCACCCTTTTCTATTGTATGTTCAGGTAACAGACTGGGTGTTCCAAAATTACTAAGTGAAAAGCTACATAGGTAAGGCAAAGATAAACATAAAGCACAAGCTAGTGCAATTATGGAGCAAACCAAACAGTCCAACACCCATACACACCTATGCAAATGAAATAAAATTGCCCTTTCCTCCCACAACCATATTGATTTCACACAAACAGATATCTAAGCTCGACTGGAAGCTGTGCATTGTTTTCTCAATGATAAGCTGAACAATGCAAAAAAGTATATCCCCCATTGCAGCTGCATAAGAAACAGTACTGAGAGTTATAGCTAAAGTAAGTATGCTTCTTTTATCAATTCACAACATAACGGCAGAAGTAATGTGAAGTCTGAAGATTATGATTTTGAAATTGTCTTTTGTCTATAACTGGCAACATCCAGAACAGGTGCATGTGATTGTAGGTTGATCACAACCTACAAGTGTGTGTGTATTGCTATGTGAGTCATTATCCCCACTGATACATACGCCAAATGAACAAATATATATACAGTATGTCACAGAAGTGAGTACAACCCCTCACATTTTGTAAATATTTAAGTATATCTTTTCATGTGACAACACTGAAGAAATGACACTTGGCTACAATGTAAAGTAGTGAGTATACAGCTTGTATAACAGGGTAAATGTGCTGCCCCCTCAAACATACAGCCATTAATGTCTAAACTGCTGGCAACAAAAGTGAGTACACCCCTAAATGATAATGTCCAAACGGGGCCCAAAGTGTCAATATTTTGTGTGGCCACCATTATTTTCCAGCATTGCCTTAACCCTCTTGGGCATAGAATTCACCAGAGCTTCACAGGTTGCCACTGGAGTCCTCTTCCACTCCTCCATGATGACGTCATGGAGCTGGTGGATGTTAAGAGATCTTGTGCACGTTCACCTTCCATTTCAGGATGCCCCACAGATGCTCAATAAGGTTTAGGTCTGGAGACATGCTTGGCCAGACCATCACCTTTAACCTCAGCTTCTTTAGCAAGGCAGTGGTTGTTTTGGAGGTGTATTTGGGGTCGTTATCATGTTGGAATACTGCCCTGCAGCCCAGTCTCTGAAGGGAGGGGATCATGCTCTGCTTCAGTATGTCACAGTCCATGTTGGCATTCATGGTTCCCTCAATGTCCTAAGTCTGCTTGTCTGCAGCAAACTGTTTGTGGGTTTCTTGTGCATCATCTTTAGAAGAGGCTTCCTTCTGGGATTACAGTCCTGCAGACCAATTTGATGCAGCATGTGGCATATGGTCTCAGCACTGACAGGCTGACTTCCCACCCTTTCAACCTCTGCAGCAATGCTGGCAGCACTCATACATCTATTTCCCAAAGCCAACCTCTGGATATGATGCTGAGCATGGGCACTCAACTTCTTTGGTCAACCATGGTGAGGCCTGTTCTGAGTGGAACCTGTCCTGTTAAACTGCTGTATGGTCTTGGCCACTGTGCTGCAGCTCAGTTTCAGGGTCTTGGCAATCTTCTTATAGCCTAGGCCATCTTCATGTAGAGCAACAATTTGTTTTTTCAAATCCTCAGAGAGTTCATTGCCATGAGGTGCCATGTTGAACTTCCAGTGACCAGTATGAGAGAGTGACAACAAAATTTAATACACCTGCTCCCCCTTCACACCGGAGACCTTGTAACACTAACGTGTCACATGACACCAGGGAGGTGTCTTGTGCCCCATTTAAACATTATCACTTAGGGGTGTACTCACTTTTATTGCCACCAGTTTAGACATTAATGGCTGCCTGTTGCCTTATTTTGAGGGGACAGCACATTTACACTGTTATACAAGCTGTATACTCACTACTTTACATTGTAACCAAGTATCATTTCTTCAGTGTTGTCACATGAAAAGATATACTTAAATATTTACAAAATGTGAGGGGTTGTACTCACTTCTATAACATACTATACATACATACGTGTGTGTGTGTGTGTGTGTGTGTGTGTGTCTGAAGTAATTTTACAATTTCTGTTAAGAAAGTGGGATAACTCTAGTTCTGGAATCAGAAGTTCAGGATAACCACATTTTCCTGGGGAAATAAATCTAACACACTTCTATATTGCAAATAAATAAGTACAATAATCTCTTCTCCCACCAGCACAGATTTCAACCCTTAACTCAATTATGATCTGTGTATTTGCTTCCCAATCACAAGCTCTTTGAAACAATTGAAAAAAGGATAGTCACTCTCTCACACATACACCCATAGCTTTGATAGTAACATCAAAGAAACAGCAATTTTCTCCACATTTGCTCATTATTTTCTAGACTTCTTTCCTTCAGTGTTGTTATAAGCAGACAAAGAGAACTGAAGCAGGAAAAAAAAACATAGGAATAAAGTAGTACCTAATGCAATTCTTATAAAAGAAGCTGATTCTCTCATAAGTGTAGGAACTTACCCGCTGTGGTGTTTAAAAATTTTGAATGTTCCATTTCTGCATAAATATAAGCTAAATTGTGATCTGTCAAACTAGATAAAGAGAACCTAATTCAACAAGTAAGTCAAAACTACATTCATGTATTTATTGAGGGAAATGATCCATAGCTACATATTGGTATGTGGCAAAAGTTGTGTACTCACCTTCAATAGCAATAACTGCAACAAAACATTTTTAATAACAGTTGATCTATCTTGCACATCAGGATTTTTAGCCCATTCCACCTTACAGAACAGCTTCAACAGAGAGATGTTGATGGGATTCCTCACATGAACTGGCTGCTTTCAGGTCCTTCCACCATATTTCTGTAGGGTTAAGGTCTGGGCTTTGACTTGGCCATTCAGAAACATTAACTTTCTAATGTATTAATCATTCTTTGGTTGTATGACTTATGTGTTTTGGCTCATGGGCTTGCTACATGATCCACTTTCTCTTGAGCTTCTCTCACAGAGAAATACACTGAAGTTTTTTTGTATAATTTGCTGGTACAGTTCAGAGTTCAATGATGGGAAAGCCATTTTGGCCCAGAGGTAGTAAAGCAGGCCTGAAACAGGATTCTGCCACCACCATAGATGGGATAAGATTCTTGTGCTGGAATGCAGTTTTTGCCTTTTGCCAAACATAATATTTTTAGCTGAAGCTAAAAAATTCTATTTTGGTCTCATCCATCCACAAAACATTCTTCCACTAGCCTTCTGTGGTTTTGCAAATTGTAAGTGGGCAGCTATGTTCTTCTTGCAAAGTAGCAGCTTTCTTTTTGCAACTCTACTATGCTCAGTATTGTTGTTCTGTATTTTCCTGATGGTGGTCTCATGAATACCGATGTTTGCTAATGCAAAAAAGGCCTTTAGTTCCCTAGATGTTATTCTGAGGTTGAGATCTCTCAGAGTATATTACCTGCCTTGCTTTTGGAGTGATCTTTGTTGGTCAAACAGTCTTGGTTAAGGTTACAATGATGTTGAATTGGCATTTATACACAATCTGTCTCACATCTGTCTCAGATTCGCAAAGTCTAAACTCTTTGGAAGTGGTTTTGTAACTTTTTCAAGCCTGATCATAAAAAAACCTGTTTTTTTGAGGAAACCTGTTTCCTCAAAAATCTCCTTTCTTTACACTATGACACGGTGGTGTTCTGAAGATCAGACTTTAGATAGTGAATACCCAGAATTCTATTCTTTAAATAAGGCAGCACCTCACACTCTCACCTGATCCCATTGACTAAACACCTGATTCTAATTTCCCCTTCAAGTGAACTGATACTCCTAGAGCAGGGCTATCAAACTTGCGGCCTGCAGGATAGATGTGTCACGCGCTGGCCACACCCACACTTGGTTTAGCAAAGGGGGGGAAAGTTGTGATACATCACATGACGCCATGACAACACAAGTTTGATACCCCTGTCCTAGAGGTTCACATACTTTTGACACACACAAATATGTAGCTTTGGACCATTTTACTCAATAATTGAAGAAGTATACATTTTAACTCATTTAATTGGGTTCTCTTTATCAAGTTTTAGATGTTTCAGGTTATATTTATGCATAAATATTGAAATTTCAAAAAGGTTCACAAACTTTCAAACTGAGACGCCACACTCAATTTACCTAGTTTCACCCTTTACAATAACAGAGCTGCTGCCATAAGGATATTGCAAGTCTATCAATTGTTCTCTGGTGGTGAAATATTTTAATCAGCTCATAGTTTAAGAATAATTATATTGTTTCCATTAGGTATAGTTGATTGATAAAGGAAAAGGGATGGCAGATCCTAGGGGAAGAGTTAAAAGAGGATCAACCTAGAACTCCTACATAGCTACAAGAGTACTAAGTCCAACTCCCCTTGAATTCCACTGACCCTTATCTAACTCTAAGCAAGTGTCAACCATTAGTTGAGAAGTTTCCTGCGCATAGGCTTTTAGCAATAAAACAGCTGAATTGAACCTTCACACCTGGACCTGGTCTTTTGCATATGAAAATTGCAAAAAAGACCTCACTTAGGAGAAATACCTCCAAAACTATGAATCATGTCATGGAGGTGGGTGGGCATGTAAAATTCTTGAGAGGTGTGTGAGGAGAAGAGGAAGGCGGTAAATAAAATTGCACATCATATTTCTCCTGCAGTCCAAAGTTTACAGATTTCCCATCAAACACCTGCTTGACTTCAAACTTTTTATTATGACAAATGTATATTATTTTATTTTAAAAAATCCACACGGAAGCAATTCAAAATAATTACAACAAAAATTAAAATACTGCAGATGTAATGAATGAAAACATAGTTTTAAACAATCTATCGAGAGCAATGTAAAGACATTTTAAAAAGCACAAATATTTAATGAGGGCAAAGTTTGTTGGATTCTCTTAGTTGCAAATGCCCAGTACAACAGTTCTAAATTTTAAGCCAATTATTAAACAGAGCCAGGGAAGGTAAATTGACCTGGGGATATTAGGAAATAAATTCCCTGTATACATATCTCTACTCACCTTTCATCTGCACTATTTAAGCAAGGCCAAGTTTGGAAATTATATTGGACAGTTCCTAAGTAACTAGCTTACTCTTCTTCTTACTTATCAATAAGAAAGTCAATTGAGATCAATATTGCTGAGAGTGGGTAAAAAAACCTCCAATGATTAAAGTTAGTAGCAGGGGTACATTAAACAGGGAGCTTGGAGATGTTTTTTAAGAAGTTAATACATAGACTCATACAAACAGTTATATCCCTCTACATCTGTCCTCTGATGAAATTGTTTCCACCAACAGCACTAATTTTCTCTTCCTGTGGAGTGATTGGGGCACCTTCTAAAGATTGGGGGACACAAAGAAATGAGAAAAAAGGGTTGCATAATAATACTTTACTGATGTAAAATATAATGATGTAATCATTTCCATTTAAGTGTAAATATACCATGGAATATTAACAACGAAAATGCAATTCTGCACTGGGGAAATTGAAATATCTACTGCAACTGTCTGTCTGTCTGTCTATCCATCCATCTTCAATAGGCAAAAACTATATTGGTAATCATGGATTATTACTGAACTAAAGAGACATTAAAGAGGACACACAAGGATATAATAAAAACAAATGCAAAAACTGAAGATGAATATGTGAAGTAATGTATAAAAGAGAATTAAAGGCAGGCGATCTTCCACAAATAGTAATACATGAGCAAATAAAACAAACAAAAAGACAAACTACTTACAGATATAAAAATTATTAAACTGCTGTTCAAAGGGGACACTTTCAGTCCTCATTATGTAATACTTTTTAGTGTCTACTGAAGACAGATATTTTTTTGGAAAAAAAATTAAATATAATTAATTTACTACTAAATACGTAGGAGATAACAGTGCATTAAAAGACTCCCCCCTCATAAAGCAATACATATTACTCTGCTGGCAAAACAAAGATTACACATGATCTTATATACAGTATGTTTATTTTTGTCTTAAAACAGTTATCTTTACTTAATGTTGCTTAAGTACCATCAATGAAGATTATGAAGGGGAACTAAGCTTATTACGTTTATATAAAATATTATACATAATCAAATACTTCAAGCTTCCACTTCCCTAACAACAAGATGTCCTCCCAACCTCCCCACCCGACTCCCACCCAACCAGATACAGTGTCACAGATACAGTGCAGGACTTGCAGGTTTCACATGATTCTTCCTTCATTACGCAGTCTGTGTTACCGTTCACGTCATCCCTGCTTTGCTAATCAAATTTTCTTGGCCCTTTTCTTTGAAAACCAGAGAAGAGGAGCACTGCAGAATGTAGTAGCAAAACTGGTCAATTGCTTGACGTCCACTTTCAAGAGCCAATGAGAGAGCAACATGAAAACGCTAGGTTTAAAGCAAAGCTGCACAGTTATGAACATTTCTGTGTCCTGTTTCCATAACATACATGATTTATTATACAATGTATTTTGATTTGTTAAATTCCCCTGAAACAAAGCTATCTCACTTTAGCCCTGCAATACATGAGACACTCATCATATTATACACAAATAGTTCACCCCTATAGGCCAAGTATGCCGCAAAGCCAAGATACAAATAGAGAATGAGTGCAGTAAACATTTCAAAAGTGTAAACCTATACTTTCATCTATTCCCCCGTCAATGCTTATTTGGAAGGCCATGAAGTATTGAGCACAGCTACATATGTATGCACAGACGCTGCAGGGAAATGGAGCACAGCAAGCCATTATTTTCCAGCAAATATGCAAATATATCAATACAGAGTATAATCATGGCCATATTCAAGGGGATCGGAAGCTCATGGAAATAAAGCACATTCAACACAGGTTATCACACTGCATGCACAGAGGAAGCTATATTTTGACAGAGCTCACAATAGTTGCAATTGCAACAAGAAGAAGGCTGGAGTAGCAAAAAGAAAAGGGGTTGCTCATAGCTGGTCAAAATGAAATTTAATAACCTTCTCAGCTGCTGACCAGATATTAGCTTGAATGCAGTAAGACAGATAAAATTTGAGACGTATGAAAGAAAAGGAATGTTATCACTGAAGATTTGTATGGAAGACGCAAACTCCATCCAACAAAACTAATTTAGACTCATGATGCACAAAATATTACAAAAAATAAAGTTTTTCGGGGGAGAAAGATCCAGTTATATTTCTTCTCACATAAATTACTTGTTATTTCATGAATCAGACACCTCTATTACACTCAAATTTTCCCTTCCAAGCGACTGGATCCACTGTCTAATTTTTTTTATTATTATTTGTTTATTTATATCCCGCCTTTATTATTTTTACAAATAACTCAAGGCGGCAAACATACTCAACACAAATTTATATTGCAGTCTTAGTATAAAGTTTTAACTTTTGTTAAGGAGTTCTTATATATAAGAAGAAAAAAGCCATGAGGCATAAGCTTATGCTGTATAGTGTAAATGCCCATAAAATGCCTATATAACCTGGTTTCTTCCTCCATCTCTCTTTTTTAATAATTATTTTTAAAATACTGAGTGCTGCTTATTGTATATACTCTAAAGTATATATCCTTTTACATTTAGTGCAATAAAGTTAGGGCCTTGTATGTTTAAAAAGCTTCCGCACCATGATGAGCCAAATTCCACACAAGGAAATTGAATTCTACAATTTGTACAAACAACACAAATTTGCACTGATATCTAATTATTCCACTTTTAGTAGTCGTAGGGAAGTAATAGTGATTGCCCCTGGAAAACCCTATTCAGTTGCATTCCTTCACATTATAAAACGTTAACTAAGAAATGCTTAGTTTAAGTTATCTTCATACGTAGAAAGACAGAAAATCTAGTTTAAAAAAGGAAAAAAGTCAGAATATGGTGAATTCAACGATGAATTCTAAATTTCTGAATAAAGCGCACTACCTTATTTATGTAGTTCTTTTAAAAATAGAGGGGAGGGAGGAGTTGCTTCATAGTCTATGTTCTTCTGTTCACAGATACTATAACTAGTAATTAGACAACAAGTCTCCAACATATAGGATCTGTTCATAAGCTTTGTTATTTTTCATGTGAAGTGCTTGTCCAGGATCACAATATTTCTTCAGGACACTTTGTGTCAAATCTTAGGGCAGAGACAGGCAACCTAGTGCCCTCCTTCAGGTGTCCTGAACCTTCATTCTTAATCAGCTTTAGCTAGCACAGCCAATGGCAAGGATTATAGTCCAAAACACTGGAAGGATAGCATGGAGTCTATTCCTGTTTTAGGATTAAAAAACATTTCAGTATAGTATATCTTATCTATCACATCTAATCTGGATCAATCACTGCAGTGACACAACAACATCAGATGTGTATTGTACATGAGAAGGCCAAGCAACTTCAATACATTGTTCAACTACTCCTTTTCAGTATTTGATCTGCTTCAACTGGATAATGAAGGAATAACAGCAACATCAATAATGGCTTCTCAAGGTTCATGATTGCAAGTCTTCTGCAACTAGGCAGATACTAATGCAAGAACAAAATTATTAGTCTTTTAAGGTGCCACAGCACATTTTGTTTGTTTTTGCTGCAAGTTTCAAAATCAAAATTCAATCAAAGTCTAGGTAAGAAACAAATGAAGGATGCACATATATATTAGAGTACACTTTGTCCCTCTACCCGGCCTCCCCAAAGGAGTGGCAAAGCCTTCTTTGCCCTTTATCCCATTGATGCTGAACCCCAACTGTAGAGATTCAACACAGAGCAAAGACACCACTGCAGGTAACAGATAACCACTAAAGAAGACACTATAGACAAATTTGTTCTACTGGAGCCACAAAAGTTGATGTCTTCTGCTTTGCTTCCATACCTTAAAATAAAGCAAAGCTTCAGTCAATTCACTTGGAAGAAAATGACCAATCATCTATGGGATGCTCATCTGAATGATAAAAGAAACATTCATAATCTTCTGTTTGGTGTTCAATCCAAACACATAACATGTAATAGCTGCTGCAGAGACTTGGGTTGTATATTTTTCTTTTCTTCTTTTTTTTTTAAATATCTCATCTGAAAACTAGACTACTAAAAAGATAATAAAATACTCTGGAATAGTAAAATCTGCTGTTCTTGACATCCATGAGCAAAAGAGTAATATCCTGTGAAAATAACATAGTGCTTTTAAAAGGTGCATTATACCTGTATAGCTAAACTGGTCTGCCTAGTAAAAAAATTAACTATATACAAGCTTGAAAAGCCCAGGAGTTCAAGATTCCAAAAATTTAAAATCCTGGTAAAAGGATTTGGAAAAGGTTAGATTTATGGCAATTACTACAACACGAGAAAGGTGCACCAGGAATCCTTCAACAATTCCATAGGCTAAAGAAGTTTAAGTGCTTGGTTCAGATCAGATCGAGTAACCACAATGGAACACATGCGAAAGCAAGCTGAAGGGAAACTTCACAAGAATCTCCTTTATGGCAAAAAAGGATAAAAACTGTCTCTTGTCTTAAAATAATTAGTAAATAAAAAGTTTGCAATTCTAAAATCTGCATCACAATTTGCATTTTTTGGTTCTTCTCATGGTTATGAACTTCATATTGCTGGAGTCCACTCATTGTTAGTTCATTCCTTTCTAACACCCTTTATGAAGTCTCTTTAGTACCGGTGAGATTGGTGGGACGGATGGTACTGAGAACTCTGCTGAGATGATGTTGAATAGCCCATTGTATTCTGGGACTGAGAAGATCCCTGAATGTTGCTTTGGTAACTCAGGCGTGAACTGGAGTGCTACAAAAAAAGCAAAAAAAAAATAAAATAAATGTTTTTATGAAGCAGAACTGTTATCATAAAAGAGGGGGTGGAGGATGGCCATAAAGAATTATTGCAGCAAGCTCCCTCTCATTTCCTTTGGATGGGTTTAAGTAAGGAAATGAGATTGGCATGTCCCTCTTTCCCTGTCTTCCTTACTTCTGCTTTGTCTATGGAATATTTAGCTATTGGTAATAGAGAAAACTTAGGTTGAATAACTAAAAGCCAGATGCTAATATTAATCTAATATATCTTTAATCTTTGAAGCTGAGTTCATAAAACTGGATTTGACAGTGAGGACAAACAAGACACTAGTGAACTTCTCCTTGAAATCTATGTATAACCAGAGCCTCAAATGCTTATCTTCAGGCACAGACTTACATGAAGAGAGTCTAAGATTTTAACCATGCTTACTGTTTCCATGCAAACCAGCTAACCAATCATTCTGGATTAAGGTGGGACTACATTCTGAGCTGCACTTTTAAACAGCTAGCTGTCTGAAGCAAAATCATTGTATAAGGCAGAGATGCATATCCATGTGCTGCCTACATTCCCACAAAGTCGAGGAATGGCCCCCAAATTTTACCATCCAAAATTTGTTCAAAGTTTAGTGACATCCTATACGTTGTGTGTTTGCAGCATCAATAAACAAGCAAGCATGTTTGTTATGGGGAAAGTTTTCCATTCCATAAAATGCCAATTGGAAAGCTTATTTGGTATTAGCATGCTTAAATAGAAAACAAATTGACTATGTAACAATTTACATTAAACAAATAAAATAAGATGGTTTGTCATTGAGAGACACTTTCTCTTAAAGTCGCCCAAAGAGGAAAGTAGCTAGATAAATATAATGAAAACAGCCATGTCTAATTTGCATTTAGAAAATTTAGAAAAGGGGAATGAAGAATGGGATTCATAAAATTCAATGCATAATATAAAGAAACAGCTTGATGCCAGAACTTGATAGGCCTGAATATATGTATTGATACTTCAGTATTAACTTTCTAAAAACCATTTAATGAAAATACATGCACATATACAAATGCTATTATTTGTGACAGCTAATATATTTTAATTTTGTGAAAATGAATGTATCAGATGACTGTTGTTGCAGTTACCATGGCCAGATGAAGTCATAAATGTACTAGAGATAATACACAGAGCCCAATGGAATAGGCACTAAAGAGTCACAAGAGAATATTATGGCATGTAACTACAGAGATGATTACCATCAACATGTAATGACCAGACCCCTGCACTCAAGATTATGAATTACTTTCCACAAGCATAATTTATTTAATAATAACAATACAACATATTTCCAGTCATTATGCTCCATAGTTAAGAATTATGGAAAATGTTCCAACATCTTTACCAATCAAATGACTGGGCAAGGAAGGATATAGAATTACTGTCTCTTTGATACCTGTAACTACCTGTGAATGTTTACAGCACTTTACAATAAACTTTACTTGTGAAACTTCATAGTATTATCAGCAAAAGAAATGCAAAAAGCTTCACCTCACTGAACTGGATCTATTTCTTATAATAAAATGAAGGGTATTGTTTTAATTAACCATAACACCTGTATCTCAAACTTTGAAAACTGTCTTGAGCAAGATTTACCTTGAAAAGTGGCAATTAATTATTTCTTATGCAGGAATACATGCTTTCATTCATACACACATTCATAAATTGAGCAGGGCCCATAAAAACATTCTAGTTCTACGACAAGCCATCCTATGGTGGCGTTTCCTAACTTGTTTCCCCTCAATCCTTGAAAAGCAATCAAAGATGATATAAAGAAGACAGGAAAAAAGGAACATACTTGATAGTCTGAAGGCATGACAGGCCCGCCTGAATTCGTGCCTGAAGGCCCAAGGCGTGGTTTCTTGTTTGGAGGCACCTGGTTGAGGCCGGAGTCCTGGCTGTGCTGGAGACCTGCCCCAGTCCCGCCACCTCCTGTCCCGCCACCCCCCGCAGTTCCATTGGTCTGGGTGCTGTTTTGCTGTTGAGGTGCTGCTTGTGGCTGTGGTTGCTGCGGCTGCTGAGGTGCTGCTTGCTGCTGCTGTTGCTGCTGAGGTCCTGTTTGTTGCTGATGTTGGTTCTGCTGCTGTTGATTCTAGATCGAATCCAAGGGAAGGAGAGAGAGCTGGGATTACCATGAGGTTTAGTCTTAGGGTTGTTCTCAGAGCATTCCTAGAAATGTACACAAGCAGTACACTGGCTCAGTAAGAGTAATATAATGTTTAGAGAGCCTAAGGAACATCTATACTAGGATGAGAAAGGCTAAACTTCACTGAGCCATAAATCTTTTATATAACTGGCTGACCTTCTCTTGCTCATCTGATATCAGATCTCTAATTGAATCAAGAAAGACTCTGTAGACTCCTTAGGAAAATGCACGGTATAATGATAAGCAAGTTTATCGTTTAAATTCTATATTGGACTTCCTCTTTTGGTAGGTGCTTTCCATTTATTCAGCCATTGTTTGAATGTCTTTTAAACATATTACAGTGGCCATCTTTTTTAAAAAATGAGTTCATGTACTGTATATGTGACACTTATGTGCCTCTTAAAATAATGTAGCTCTTTCATTGCCTCACCAATTTCTACTGACTATTCTTTACACACGATAATAGGCTTTGCTTGTCCCTTCCATTTTTGAAACAATGGTATGGTTGAACGTATTCATTTTTAGAGCAAAGACTGCAAATAATGGCTTTTTTAAGATGTATGTTGCTGTGCTTTCTACTTTTGTATTTTTCTTCTTAAAACCATAACACAAAAGTAACAAAAGTAACAGAGAAAAAAATAGGAATATAAAATTTCCATAAAATTTGCAAAGACCCTTATCTCAAATCTTGGAATGAGATGGTTACAGCTTAAATGCTTGCCTCTTATACTTCATCTATGACTTTGGTTGATTTATAGTAATTGAAATCCATATTACTCAAAATCTATGGTTCAATATCAGAATTCCTGGAGCCAGTGATGTTATAGAGAAAGGAAAGGAATGAATCTTTCAGTTAATTATAAAAATAGCAGGATATAGAGAGTGACGCTGACATAGGTTTTCCAAGTCAGGTCAAAGACAGAGAAAGTACTCCAATTAACACAACAATAAAGAGGACAAAGAAGCAGCAGAAAATTTGGAGTAGTCTGAGGACAAGAAAGGAAGGCAACATAACAACAAACCTTAAGTAAATCTTAAGAGTCAAACTAGATGATTATTCTTTTAACATTTGGTCCCAATGTTTGTAGACTTTTGAGTATAAACTTTCAGCAAAGTAAGTGCAATTAAATGTTGAGGTACAGTAATGGCCAAACAACCCTTTTAAACAAAAGGCTTTGAAATCAGTATGTCTTTTTCCATGTGTCTCAATGCAATAAAGAATTTTCACTGTGAGATGAAAAAAGGAGAACACAAACCAAATAAAATTCCTCCCATTAATTATACAACTCTGTTATCACTGCCAAGAATTACAATTAAAGCCATGTTTATACTTTTACTATAATAGATGAACCAATATTCAGGAACAATACTGTCCTATGGGAAAAGCCAGCTAGAACTATAATCTGCATTTGTGTATTAGTCAAAGGAATATGATTATGATGTTGCCCCAGGCCAAAATAGCTGATGGAATGTAATTGGTTGAAATTTAACCAGCTGGAGCCATTTGTTAACATCTGCAACAACTAAACTTATTTACAATCTATTTTAGAATTCAGCAGACTTAATGTCACAGAAAGTGGCAAGTCTGAAAACAAAGTGGAGCAAAAATCAGAGGTAAAGATGTTGATATCTATATTTATCACTGCATCTATCTCCTAGACTTAAAGCAATTAATAATTGCTTTATTGTTGCAGAGAAAATGTTATGGCTATGTCTATGCAGTCACTAGGAATCAAGCTCCACTTAAGGAAAATTCTTTTTCTTAAGTTTCAGAATCAAAACAGGAGTCTTCTTCTTGGTTGTACTAGTCTCAGGGATGTCAAACTGGTGGCCCGCGGGCCAGATGTGTCATGTGCAGCCACACCCACCCCAGCTTCATGAAGGGAAAAAACATCACGAAATGTCACGACAGCAACGTGACGCCACAAGTTTGACACACAAGTACTACTGATACTGTTCTCGGCTGTTTTGTATTTTAATTCTTATAATTGTTTTTATTTTATTTTAATTCTGTTTGCTTCCCAGGGTCACTTGTTGAGATAGGAAACCATATGAACTGAATAAATAAACGAATACAAATATATGTCTGAAATATTATTTAATGGGAACAAAAGTAAATATAGCTCATTTACTAGAATATTTCATGTCCTGCAACTTTTATTCTCATTCTTAATAGACTTTTGCCTTGCTTCCACAATTTTGATCTTTGATAGTATGAAGCTCTTCTTGAAGTTTCTAATTCATTTTATTTTTTTTGTTGCCATAGGAACATGGGGCATTGTTGTACATCAACAAGGACTTTCGATTGAAATTACCTATACTGAATAGCAGTAGTTCTTCAGGGTCAAAGGTACTTGGTACCTGAGCCTTTTTAATGAGAGATATCAAGGACTGCACCTGGACTCTTCAGAATGCATGATCTTTTGTCACTGAGCAATATCCTTCCTATATCCTCCTCCTACTCACACAGCATCACTACAAAAAAACCCATCACAATATTTATTGCCAATTGATGACTTTTTTAAGACTATTGGATATATGGGTTTAAGACCTTTTCCCTTTTTTATTCCAGCTATATGTTACTTCCATTATCTAAACTTACTAAAGATTATTCGGTTTTAAACAATCTAATTTCTTGTAGTTATCACATATCAACATGCAGCCCTTTTTGAGTATGTCCCATGACATTGCATTACAATCATATTGACCAGAAATCCTGGTCAGAGTAACGGTTGATGTTCTATAAGTTTTCCTCCTCAGAAACATTATTTTTTACTGATGGTAACATGGTCTATGAACTATACCTTATCACCCTTTTCCTCGGGTTCATCTTCATTAAGAAACTCTCGTTTGGGGTATGGAATCTGGCAACCAGCAAAAACACTGGAACAGAAGAATAGAGTGGAATTGCACCAGTATATGTTAGTTTACAATCTTATATTCATTAAAAAATGTATTAGAGATCAAATAAAATTTTGGACATCTCTAGCAGAAATGTGATGAAATGAAGAGTATTTGCTTTCATTTTAATATGGTCAATATGTTGTTACACACTGGACATATTCACCATAACTAGTCATGGTGATTTCAGATTGATTATTTTAGTCTCCTTATCTTAGGCTATTTCATTGTATATGTTAAAAGCAGCTCAGAGTTTCATACCCTCTATGACAACTATGGATCTCTTCCAATTACAATTTGACTCCACACTTACAACATGTTACACACAGAATTTGATAGGTGGAACTGATGGTGAGGAATCCCATGTGATTCTATTGTCATGGACAAATCACTCTCTCGTCAGTATTAAACTGATGTCTGCCATAAATCTGCAGTGATGGAAGATCTTTTCGAATGTTCCTATAAGTACTTGATAGATCCATTACAAAAATGTTGACTGTGACAATATCATTAATGCCATGGCAGTTATGTGTAACATAGTCCATGACATGTGTTGGTCACTATTTAATTGAATTGTTTTTGTTGCACCAATTTATTTGCATCAGAAAATATGGGCAGTAAATGAAGAGCAATTCATTATGAAAAAGGCTGATTTTTCCTATTTCCTTCATAAACCATCAACCAAAAACACTAATAATTAGGTATTGGTACCAAGATGGTAGCGCATACCATTTTGTTTATAATCCTCTCAAAATAATATAGAAAGTCTATAATTATTTTTGAGACTATCGCTCAATATCAGTCTTCATTTCAAATCAGTTGAAAAGCACTAGGTATGTGTAGCATAAAAGAATTATTGCTTTGAAGTTTCTATCTAATTTAGCATTCATTTCAAAAAGTGTTTCTAACATAATTTTAGCATTACTGATGCTTAAAAAGGATTTAGCAAGTAATATTTTCTCCCATCAATAAGCCTTTGTTACCTTACTGAGCAAAACAGATCTAGTGTACTCATCCTTTAGGGTAAAATTCAAGTAATTTACTATGCAGTCCTATCCATGTTTACTCAAAATGAAGTTTCATATATTAAATGGATTTAATGCCCAGTAAAAGAGCATAGAAATTGAAGCAAACTTGCAGGGGGTGGGGGGGAGATCCAGAGAAAAAGCTGATAATAATGTCATGTTGGGCATCTATCACCTCTGCAACATTTCCTCAGAAGCTGCAATTTGTAATGAAATCTTTCACTAGTATTAAGAAATGTTTATAGATGACTGGAGTATATTCCATCTATTTCTACACTCAATTCTGTTTAAATATAAATGTCCCTACTATTGACACTACTTTAAGAATAGAATTCTGGTTATGCCATTTTAAATCTGAGTATGGATCTATTATTATAAAAGAGAAATCTTTTATGTTATAAAATGAATATTTCAGAGATATAATCAAACACATATTACGGCTATTTTTTTATTTTTATATAAGTTTAGAGAGCAATTTGGAAAGTAAATTAAGTTATACAGCAGTGGAGGAAGGACTACAAAGAACAGAAAAAAACATACTCTGATGTAGGCAATGGGTCTTCCTGGAAGTAAGGATCCTGCAAAGCTTGCTCTGAGGTAATTCTTTTAGTCGGATCCATAGTCAGAAGTTTTTGAAGCTGCAAAAAAGCCAGTTTGTATGAATTTCTCAGTAAAACTCAATGACATGCATTATGTACCCTGTTTTCCCCAAAATAAGACATCCCCGGATAATAAGCCCAATCGGGCTTTTGAGTGCATGGCAATAAGGCCAAGCGCTAATTTCAGGGTTCAAAAAAATATAAGACAGGCTCTTATTTTGGGGGAAACATGGTATTTAGTATTATGACCAATAATATTAAAATAAAACAAATACAAATAAACTTATGGCATTCTATATACAGAAAATATATATCATATAGTTAAAAATATTAGAAAACCTAAAATAGAAAACCTAAAATGTAGAAGTATCCCTTACATTGATCATAGCCCAGCATGAGAAAGGGAAACAATTCTGGCAAGCAATGAGATCTGATCTGATCTGATCTAAGCTTCATTCCATCACACTGGTTCCCCCTCCATAAACATGGAGCTAACAGAAGGCTATTATACTTGTTCTTCCGCTGTAACTGATATTCAGAAATGGAAAGTAAGTTGTTTGGATGAATTTGGCAATAAATGACAGAACCGTATGGAGCATCTGGCTCAGACAAGGAAGCAGAGTAGATAACTGGCCCCAGCCTGTTATTTTCAGCTCAGCCTATGCCACATGGTGTTTTAGGGAGAAACGAAAAGCAAGGCATGCCATTTTAATTTTTTTTAATTTTAAAAGAGGAGATATAAACCTAACAAATTAGTTAATACATGAATTATTAAGTATTATTATTGTCAGTGTAGGTAAAACTTTAAATAATATTAAAAATACTAGGATATTCTGGCCACCAAAAAGAATTTCAGATCTTTTATGCAATATATTTTAGATCTGTACATTTTTTTAAAAAAAAAGTTTTATTGTTTTATTAATACACATTATGACAAACACGTATCATACAACATATAAATATATCCTCTTTTTAACAACTGTTCCTTCGTGGTCTGCTTTCCACTGTAATTTTTCCCCCTCATGTCTCTCATATTGTTTCATTTCCTTCATTGTCCCGTTTTTGATTGATTACAATATATTTTCTAATCATAATAGCCTTAATTTTATACATTTCTATATATTTGTTTCAGATGCCTGAAAAACCCATTCATGCTTAACTTTTCCCCCCTTAAAGCAATTAACTAATGTATATACATTATATATATATATAAATATACATATATATATTTGTTGCATACTTATTTTACATTTTATATTCTCCCCTATTTATGTTATTCTTTATTTCGGCTCTCAAGCCATTTATACCATTTGTTCCAAATTGTATAGTAGTCTGTCTCTTCTTTTTCTTTAATTTCTTTGGTTAATTTGTCCATCTCAGCACATTCTAAAACTTTTTTTAACACTTCTTTATCCATTGGTGTTTCTTTCTGTTTCCATTTTTGTGCGTATATTATTCGAGCTGCTGTTATGATGTGTAAAATCAGATATTTTATTTCTTTGGTATATGTTCTCGTAAATATTCCTAATAGAAATGTTTCTGGTTTTCTTTCTATTGTTTGCTCTGTTATTTTTTCTAACCATTTTTTTATATTTGTTCAGAATTTTTTTGCCGCTGGGCATGTCCACCATAGATGGTAATAGGTTCCATGGGTTTTCTTACACTTCCAATATATTGGATCATTATTTGGGAACATCTTTGCGATTCTTGTTGTTGGTAAATGCCATCTTTTTTTTTTTTAATTTGATTTTTATGCCGCCCTTCTCCGGAGACTCAGGGCGGCTTACAATGTGTTAAGCAATAGCCTTCATACTTTTGTATATTTATACAAAGTCAGCTTATTGTCCCCACAAACTGGGTCCTCAATTTACCTACCTTAGAAAGGATGGAAGGCTGAGTCAACCTTGAGCCTGGTGAGATTCGAACTTACAGTAATTGCAGACAACTGGTGTTAATCACAATGCTATCTGTCTGCTGAGCTACCAAGCCCGTGGCTCACATCTTCAACTGGCTTTCCTTGTATGCCGCTGATAATGTTAATTTTGAATTTACTTGCCAAATGGCAAGTAAATTATACAATCTATTGTATAATTAAAGTTCTGTGCTCATTTAATCATTGAATCTTTCACTATCTCCTCTTCCATTTTATAATTTAGTAAAAATTTATATATCTTGCTAATTAATTTTTCATCTGTCCCTAATATAATTTTGCCTTATTCGTGCGGTTCTCTTTGTATTTCATATGTGTTTGTGTCTTCTTTATGTTTGGATTGAATTTGTATATATATCCACCAATCTATATTTCTGTTCAAATCCGATTCCAGTTCTTGTTTTGATTTCAGTTTTCCTTGTTGAGCTATTAGGTCTTTGTATCTTATTATTTTATTTAATTCTGTTAAATTTGGGTGTTTAAATATTTCTGTCGGTGAAAGCCAACTTGGTATTTTTGTGTAGTGTTGTTTTTTAATTTTCAGCCAAATTTATAATAATACATTTCTTATTATATGTCTCTTAAAGTAACTATGTATTTTATATTTTCCATCCCAGAGGCAAGCATGCCATCCTACTTGTAGATCGTGGCCTTCTATCGCTAATATTCTCTTATTTCTTAGTTCTATCCATTCCTTTAACCATGTTATGCCAGCAGCTTGGTAGCATTCTGGGAGTGCTATTCACCCTCTGTCTTTTGTATCCTGTAGAGATTTAAGTTTAATTCTTGGTCGCTTTCTCTGCCATACAAATTTGGTAATTATTTTATTTAATGTTTCAAAAAACTTTTTTTCCAATTTTATTGGTATAATCTGAAAAAGGAATAGTAGTTTTGGTAGAATATTCATTTTAATGGTGGCAATCCTTCCCAATAATGATATCTGCAAGTTTTTCCAACTATCCAAGTCCTTTTTAATCTGTAATACTATTTTGTCATAACTATCCTCTTTGATTGAGGAACCTCTTGCCGTTAACCAGATCCCTAGATACTTTATTTTCTTGATTACTTGAATTTGAGTCTTGATTTCCAAATCTTTTTCCTGTTTCTTAGTAAGGTTTTTGGTTATTAGTTTTGATTGTTTTTATTGATCTTAAGTCCTGCTACCTCTCCAAATTCTTCTAATTTCTTAATTAATTTTGGCCCTGATTCTAGCGGTTCTTCTACTATTAACACAATGTCATTGGCAAAAGCCTGAACCTTATATTCTTCATTCTTTATTCTTAGACCTTTTATTTCTTGATCCTGTCTAACATTTTTCAGGAGCATCTCCAACGTTAATATATACAAAAGTAGAGATAGTGGGCATCCCTGTTTTACCCCTTTTGTTATACTGAATTGTTCTGTTGTATCGTCGTTCATGATTACTCTTGCTGTTTGTTTTGTATAAATTTTCCCTATCATTTTTTTCAAATTTTGTCCCGAATTGCATAAATGTTAGTTGTTCCATTAAAAATTTCCAATTCAGATTGTCAAATGCCTTTTGGGCATCAAGGAAAACCAGTGAAGCTTGTTTTTCCAGGTGTGCTTCGTAGAATTCTAATGTGTTTATTATTATTCTCATGTTGTTTTTAATTTGTCACCCAGGAAGGAATCCATTTTGATCTGGGTGTAAATAGTTATTCAAAATTTTTTTAATTCTTTCAGTTATAATTGCTGCAAATATCTTGTAGTCTGTGTTTAATAAAGAGATTAGTCTGTAATGCTGTATTAAATGCTGATCTGTATCCTCTTTATAAATAATGGTTATTATCGCTTCTGTCCAAGTTTTCAGGATTTTTGCATTTCCCAGAGCATCATTATATAATTCTAACATTATTTCTCCCAATATTTCCTGTGAATTTTTATATAATTCCTGGTATCTGGTATCCCATCCGGAACAGGTGTTTTGTTATTTTTTTGTTTTTTCAGTGCCAATTTTATTTCCAATTTAGTTATTAGTCTATTTATTTTTATTTTTTATTTTTTTTATTTTATTTCCAATTTATATACCGCCCTTCTCCCTGAGGACTCAGGACGGTGTACAGCCAGAATTAAGAACATGAAATACAAATATTAAAAAACAATTAATATATATATAAATTTGGCCCAAAAATTAAAAATCACAAACCAATTAAAACATTTAAAAATTTCTTCTTAAGCCAGCCCGGCTTGCTGGAAAAAGTGGGTTTTAAGGGCACGGCGGAAGGCACTGAGGTCTTGGATTTAGTTTTTCTCTTTGTTCTTCTGTGATTTTATTCATTTCTGATCCTTCTATATATTGTTTAATTTTTTCTTTCTCTATTTCTTCCTGGTGATATAAATTTGAGAAGAATGTTTACATAGATCTGTACATTTTAAACCTCATTTTCTGCCAGAATATAGTAAAGGTGACATCTTATATATCCTTTCAGCGTCTCTGAATGGGGCTTACTTCTGATTAGAAATGTAAAGGATCGCACTGTTAACTTTACAAAACAAAAGATTACTTCAGCAGCAACAAAGTTTTCTTCTATAGCTATTTGATACTAAGAGTGTAACTTACTTAAAAAGAAAAATAAAGCTTCTCTGTCACTTACCAAAAGGAATACTTTGCTATCAGGCTTGACTTTGTGTTTTTCCATGTATTTGAGGAGGCTACTATTGGCATATCTGAAAAAAGAAACAAAGAATGAAATCAAAAGAATAAGGTAGCATCAAAATAAAAAAAAAGTTTTACTATATGTTAATTACATTTCACAAGATTTTATTTCCTGATTCATACAATAAACCACATACAGATAGCAGTGGCACTTTTTATTACTATACAGGTGCCAATCCCATTTTATTTGTTAAAACTAATCTTGAAATAGACTCTACTTTGGAATAATTAAAGGAGTTATAAAAATATACTAAACTAGGTTTCTCTAATGTATCATAATGTGTATCTGCGTGTATATATTTCAATTAATACTCCTTTTTAACAAAATCTGAAATGACTAATGTGAAAATAACAATTAAAACATAAAAGTAATAGGCAGCAGAAGCCAAGGTAATAAAATAGATATAGAGTCTGATAGCACCTTCAAGACTAATCAGCTTCATTGGGACACAATCTTTTGTGAATAACAGCTCACTTCATCAGATTCACAGAATGCAAGCCCATAATATGGATCTGTGGATGTGAGCTGCAAGAATGCTAATGCCCAATAAAACCAATTAGTCTTGAAGGAGCCATTATAGTCCATAACTACCTTGTGTCCATTGAGTAATACAGATCTTCTCCCCTCACCAAAGTTAATAAAATCAGAAATAAAAATTAAAATAGAAGCAAATATCCTAAAAATGCAGATGAAATCCTAGCCAATGCTTAAGAAAAGTAAGATAAGATTTGGACTATATGTTGAAAATTAATAAAATAAATTTTTAAAAAAAAATTTGGACTATCATATATGGATTGCAAAATTCCACCAGAACAGCAGCAAGGAAATACAGAAAGCAGTGCACGTTTTAGAAACCAGATATGGCAGTACTACATAAGAAAATAGGGTTGTCCATGCTCAGGAATGAAATGTGATAATCTGAATCTTTGTTCTATTCATCAACCCAATTCAAAGAGGTAGTAAAATATTTGGAGAAGGGCCTCCAATAAAGATTTTATTTGCTAGGCACATAGCCCAATAATCAGCATTTGTGATTCTTAAAGTTTAAAGATGATGGGAACTGAAACTGAACAACTTATATGAAGCACAAGTTGTTACATGTTGATGTGAGTCTGGAAACAATGCAACTCTCTCAATACTGATATAATTTACTGTCCCTGTTAGGACCTGATTCTCAACTTCTAAACAGAGCAACTAAAAAGCAATTATCCATTAAACTTGATTAGTGTAAAAAGAATATTTAAAGTTGACCTAAGCTTGGTTTTCATTTATTCATAGGGACACAGGCAGTTAATAGCATGTATCTGCCTTAATAAGCCACTAATTTGCACCTGGACTCTGGCTGGTGATACTTAAGTTCCAGAAAAAAAAATTGACATCATATGACAGAAGGCTGCCCATTTCTTCTAAAGTAGCTGAAGGGACAACCTGTATATCAAATGATAATAATCTAACTGAGACATAGAAAGCATTTGTATTTTAAGCCTCAAGAAGGTATTTTAAAATAAAATCCTTGCTTACTGATGCCTTGCTCAGCAACCATTTGAAGTTACAACAGCACTAAAAAGGAAATGTATAAGTGGTCCTTGAACATGTGACTGTTGCAGCAATCCTGCAATTGTGTGATCACAATTTGGGCACTTAGTAACTGGTGCACACATATGATGGTTGCAGCATCCTATAAACATGAGATTGCTATTTCCAATCTTCAAAGCTGGCATTAAACAAGCAGCCAATGGGAAAGCTGGCAGGAAGTGAAAGTCATGGTTACGGCACACATGCTTAACTGACATTATAAGCTGAGCATGGTAATGTGATGTTTTACTTTATATGACTGTGTTGCTTAGTTGCCAGTCTCAATTGCAGTTGGTAAGTGCATGTATAATAGCCACAACTCATGATTTAGAATTATGTATTGTAATAAAAGTCTCAATATGACGTACTCCCCCTTTCTATAAGGAAATGATAATTGAGATTTCACATACTATATAAATTAAATTAGTTTCTTGGTCATGCTGAATTTATCCCATTTTCTTCCATTTAAGTTTGACAAATGTGTTTCTGAAATTCATATCCCAAAAAAGAAGAATTTGTTACAAACAATTATCCTTTCATGAAAAGAAAGATAGAGAAGGATGAAACTTTATGTCCAAATCTACATCATGCTTCTTTTTACTACCAAACCTCCCAAATAAAAATAATAAAAACTATATACCGATAATTATATATTTAAAATATAATGACCAGAAATATATAACTTACGTTGTTCTTCTAAAATCTTTTTGAAGTGTAGGATATTCTGGCATTTTCCTAATGTCTTCCCAGTCTTTATCTTTGTAAAGTAAAAATTTGGAAAATGTTAAAGTAGCACAAGATAAGCTACTGGAAACAGTCTACTCCAGAGGTCTTCAAACTTGGCAGCTTTAAGACTTGTGGACTTCAACTCCCAGAATTCTCCAGCCAGTTTAAAGTCTTAAAACTGCCAAGTTTGAAGACCTCTGGTCTACTCTATATTCTATAGTAACTCGACTTACAACCATTAATTTAGTGACTGTTCAAAGTTACCACAGCATTGAAAAAAGTGACTTATGACAGTTTTTCACACTTACAACTATTGCAGCATCCCCATGATTATCTGATAAAAACCCAGATGCTTGGCAACTGGCATGTGTTTATGATGGATGCAGTGTCCCTGGGTCATGTGACCTTCTGACAAGCAAAGTCAATGGGGAAGCCAGATGCACTTAACAACTGCATTACTAACTCAACAACTGCAGTGATTCACTTAATAACCGTGACAAGAAAGCTCATAAAATGGGACAAAACTCATTTAACAACTGTCTTGTTTAGCCATGGAAATTTTGGGCTCAGTTGTGATCTTAGGTCGAGGGCTACCTGTTCAAGCACATGAATTTGCTGACCAAAAGCCAAATTGATAAAATTGTATTTGAATGGAATACATGCATATGAAGAAAAATCTATTCATTGAAAACAATCCAGATCAAAGATTTCTTATAATGTTTTAAGGGTCACTGAATTTACCTGCAGGAAATCCCATGACGCTAAATATGCGATCAAGCTGATCGTGATGAAAAGGATTGCTTGTTTTGATGTCTTCCTGACGACAGTGAAATATAGGTTCTGAAGTCAATAACTCAGCAAATATACAGCCAATAGCCCATATATCTAGGAAACAAAATAAGATATAAAATCTAAACAGCTTTTTAGAAAATAAAATACTACGTTTAACTATTTGTCATAGTAGGTGTATAACAGTCAGACAAAAAAATAAAATAAAATGAAATAGTGATATAACAAGATGAACAAACAATGCATAAATTTCACTTGAGAACCTACTTCAAATGAGTAAGGTATTACCATATGTTTATTTAAAAAATTGTATTTATTACAGCTCCCTTGGCATGAAAGAGAGTAGGCAGAATAGAATAGAATAAAATAAAATAAAATAGACAAAAATGCTATTTAGTGCCCATCCTATTTCATTTACAGTAATCAACCTCCTGCATCATTTTAGATGAAACAATCCTGTTTGGAGACTGAACCATCTCAAGAACACCACAAACTGCTTCCAATTTTCCCAGAATGGCATAAGTCTAGGAAAGGTTCATAGCTCAGAAGGAAACAGTAAGTTCTACTCCTGCCTCAATAAATTTTGCACATCCTCTCCAAGGATCTGCTGATACAGTTCTACAGAGGATTTATTGAATCTGTCATTTATACCTCAATAACCATCTGGTTTGGCACAGCAACCATACAGGACAGGTACAGACTTCAAAGGATAGTTAGGACTGTAGAAAAAAAAAATCACCACCAGTCTGCCTTCCATTGAAGATCTGTATACTGCAAAACTAGAAAGAAGGCTGGGGAAATATCTACAGACCCCTCGCATCCTGGACATAATCTATTTCCACTTCTCCCCTCAGGATGCCACTATAGAGCATTGCATGCCAAAGCAACTAGACACAAAGATAGTTGAGGGTGGAGGTTCGTTCTCTGAGCTTACCGGGCTAGGTAACATCTTCAGTGGAATTTAGGGGATATCAATGTTCAGTGTTCTTCTACTTATAAGGGCTTTGTGTGGTCAGTAGGTCTTGTGATGGTGAGGTCACGTCTGGTGACCAGGTGTACAGTATGTATAGAGTCTTGTGATAGGTCTTTTTGATGGGTCTTGTGATGGGTCAGGTGTGAGTTGTGTCAAGTGACGGATATATCATTTCTCATCTTTTCTCATCTTTCCTACTATCTTCTCCTATTGGTTTCTTATGATTTATGATCTATGACCTATTACTTGCTGTTTATATCTACACTGTGACTTTATGCACTGGAGACAAATTCTTTGTGTGTCCAATCACACTTGGCCAATAAAGAATTGAATTCTGTTGTGTTGTGTTGTATGGTGTTGTGGTTCTGTTCTGTCCTGTCCTGTCCTGTCCTATCCATCATTTTGTGGTAATGAATTCCAAAGGTTAGTTATGCACTTTACTTCTTTTACTTCTTCTCCTTCCAGGCAGCTGCAGCAAAGGATTCCTGGTCCCAATATTTTAAGAGAGAAATTTCCCCCCAATTGTTTTCTCCATGCCGTGCATGATATTATGCATGAATATATAAAATTCTAGTTGTTTTTATCCCAGAGAAAGTGTTTGCATGCCTTGATCATTTTAGTTGGCTTTTTCTGTACATTTTCCAGCACTTTTTTCATGGGATGTCTGCATAATATTCCAGATGTGAGCACAACATTCCTTGTAATTTTTACTGTTATTAGAAACATTTATTTTTAATGGATTTACTGGTTTTTAATATTGTAAACCGCCTCAAGTCACCTGAAAGTGAGATGGATGGCAAACTAATCTAACAAATAAATAAATAAGCAAACAAAGATGTGTACAAAGAGATTACAAAGTTAGGAGTTTTACTTGCAATCTCTTTCCTAAAGATCCTTAGTACACAATTTGCCTTTTTCATAGCTGTTGCCCAACCTCTTTACTGAGTTGTGGCCTGAAGATACTTTTCTTAGTTATAGGCAATTCAGATCACATCAGTGGACTGTATGTTCAGACAAGAGTTTTGGCATTGTGCATTGCCTTACATTTAATTAAATTGACTCTATCTGTTATGTGGGTGACCATTCACCCCAGTTTAAAGAGATCCTTCAGAATCTTATCACAATCACACTTTCAATTTGCTGCTCTGAATTGTTTGATATCATCCATAAACTTAGCCAGCTTTTTATCTGGAGTCTGTGGCAAGACAGAGCTAAGCATCTTTTAGCTAGAGATGATAGATGGTGTCAAACTGTGAACAGAAATCTCTAGGGAATCAACAGGAGCTAAGAGAAAGGACTTCCAAAGATTTAATTTAAGGTTGCAATCTATGAGAATCATGTTAGGAATTAGTCAGGACATCTAGCCAGAAAAGCAAACCGGGAACATAAAATGCATTTATTTTACTAGGAAAATCTAATACTTTTTTTAAAAATAAAATCTAGCAGGACTGTTCCCAACTAGTCACAATTTATATCAATTGCAAAGAAGAAAAAAGTCCTTATACAGTATCCACCTCCTGGGTAATGAATAGCTTGAAGACTTCCTATGAAGTCAGTTTACATAAACGGGCTGGAATAATGGATTAAGAATATGATACTTTGAAATCCCATGCATTCCCACAATGGGTCTCGAAAACCAGCTTTGATGATTCTGTCAATTCTCCCGACAACACTTTGGCACAGCCAACTATGTTACTCTAGGAAAATCCCCTTCTATTGCTGGTTTACCAAGATGCAAGTGATAACCCTTTTCCTTTAGAGGCCTGGAGATCTGTGCTAACAGTTAGATTCCTTTCCTAGAATGAGACTCTCTGGCTCATTAAGAACTTTCCATTTTTCTTATATCTAGGTTCAAGATTTAGAAGAAAGTTTGAAATTAAAAAAAAGAAACAGTTACTTTTTGAAAGGAATGAGCTAGGAAACTGCTCCATCAGATTCAGGATCTCAACAAATGCACAAACTTCAAAACAGATTCACATAACCTAGATCTCAGCCCATAAAACAAAACCCCACGTAGCTGTTGAGCCTAAAGGTACAAAAACCATGTGGAGTTCAGAAGGTTTAATGCTACCTAATGGTAAAAACACCTGCCTTTTGTGCATAAATTGAACTCTTCCTCCCTCACCTGCTTCTCACAAGAGCAGAAACTATATTACAATTAGCTTCGCTAGTGTTAGCTTGCTGTCCAACTTCACTAATTTCCAGCTTGGTAACTGCTGGCTGGAGGCTTTGCTCTGAACTTGTCTTCAGCCAGCCTTAATGGGGGAAAAATACTGAAGACAAAAGCAAAGACAAAATGGAGGTTGTCTTTTCCATTTTTAAAACCCAAAGGGAATATTGACTCTCTTGATTGGTTTCTTGGCCTCTGATTTTTCTGGGCTTCAATTGTTTCTGCCCATTATCTAGATGGACAGGTCCACTAACATGTTTTTTTTAATCTTTCTATGTCTGGATCTCATGAAATAGAAATGCTGCACATTCATTACAGCTAATACACGTGGGGTGGTGACATAGGAGAAATCAGACTGCATACCAGCATCATTGGTATGAGAAAAAAAATCTAATTTTAAAACTCTGGAAGGACAAATTAAGTTGCTAAATTGGATACTGGAAGACTATATTTTTTTGAAACGATACATTTTCCATGTGCCAGCTCAACTAAGTACAAGTAAAAGGAATTCAATAAACCAATAAACTGAATGAAGGGTTTAAATCTCACTTCTCTCTAACAATTCAAGGCTGTTTATACGAAGTTTCCTCTAATTTCATCTTCACAACAGTAACCTGCTAAGATAGGTTGGCTGAGATTGACTGACTGATCCAAAAATCACCAGTGAGCTCTATGATCAAGTGCAGATTAAATATTAATATCTGCAGACCAAGTCCAAAACCTAAGAAGTAAAGCAATTGTAGTGCAATATTTCTGAATTTACCAAATTGGGTAGAACTTGACAATGAAGGTATATTAAGAAGGAAACCTTCACAGGATTGTTGGAGAAATTTGATCACGAGCCTTCTGAAGGGAAATCAAGTTATTGTGGTTATACAATTTGTTGTAAAGAGGTGCTTTGGGAGTATACATGAAGCATCTCTCTTTGAACTGTTGAAGCAGTCACATCATTTATTAAGTTCATGTGGCTGCTTCACAAACATTTCAACAATAATGACTTGCACGAATCATAAAGTCCAGTTCATGGCATTCTGAGCAATCTTATCTATATTCAACAAGTAAGCAAAACTTCAGCCGGGATTTCCCCCCTTTAATTAGTTTATAAAAAGAATTTGAAAAATCCCTGCAGGACAAAACTGTGAAGAATTCAACATTAGTGAAAAATTATTCTTTGTTACCCTTCACCATCTTAAAATACGCTTGATAATTAGCTTTAACGTGTTTTTGCCCAATTCAGTCCAAGTCTTCTGTTCATCTGCATTCTATATCTTTGTTTCATTCTCCTCACCAATGACTACATTTTATACATTGAAAGTATTATCTTGTTTCTGCATGTAATTCTGAAACCTCACCCAAAGGGTAGCGGGTGTATCTTTTAAATAAGTAAACAAAAAGAGCAGCACATGAGCCTGGGCCAAGAAAATAACTCGAGAAAATGTCTCAAGCCGCTCCTACCTTCAGACAATAAAATTAAGTGCTGGCAAAAACACATTCAGACTTGCAACATTCTGTTATTATAGTAGTCACAGTAAAAATAGTGTTGACCTATATGGCATTGGTTCCTAAGTCTGCTTTACATTTTGGGACCAATAGCAACCATGTTATTTCAATGTCAGTGTGCCCCCCCCCCACCTTATCTAGGGCTTGTTTGAGAAATTTTCTCAAGTTATTTTCTTGGTCTGGGCTCAATCCCACTTATCTGACTGTTTACTGGGTAGTGGCTCCTCCTTCTGTCCTTCAAGTCATCTATGTTTGATTGCCTTCTACTACAAGAAATCAGAAGATATAAATGTCCTATTCTAGTATGAACTGACAGTGTTGGAGAATGCATTGATCAAGAATAGTAGTTTAACTTATTATGAAGTATTTCTCTGGATATCAGGAGACAGGCCCAATGTTCCCATTCTATTTAGGAGGGGAAGTAGATTAATACAGTATATCCAAGTGACCCAAGGGCTGACATATGAGTTATATTACTGTACTGTTGGGAAATTCTCAGTCATGCAGGGAAAAGGGATCAAACAGGGAACTAGCCTTGAGTCCTTGCATAGCCACAAGAGGCACATGTTTGTCCCTTCTGCCCCAAGTTCCATGGAACCTTATCTAGTTGTTCCCAAGAGAAGGCAAGCAGTCTGGGGAGAAACTTGTAATATAGATAGAACATAATAAAATTGTTGACTTGGACATTTCACGAGTAGATTTGCTTGCCTGTGCCTGGCATGTATAATATCAAATGTTTTTACCTTATTCTTCCATTCTCATATATTTTATCAATTGCAAGTTGATTGTTACAGTGGAATATGCAATGCAGGAGAAATTAATTAACATACAGCTGAATTCAAAACACTGAAGGGAAGTAAGTTCCTCTATAGGCAAGGAACAAATATTAAGTCTAATATTACCGGTACGTCTACCAAAAAACATGCTAGACTCATCTCTAATGACTGAGAATGGGAATATGAGACCTCCGGAAGTTGTTCCCATCCCCCTAACCCCTTAAAAAAAGTCCCCAAATTAGTATTTTTGACAAATTTTGGATATTTTTCAGTAATGGACATGGCTCTGGGGCATTCATTTTGGTTCAGCAAGGATAATCAGAATATTCAGAGTAGATCTATAAATTATTTTTTTCCTGATTGCGGAAGATTAGAGATGTAAATCCAATAAGAAAAGAAAGGCAAGCAGAGAAACTGGAAAATCATTCTCTCTGCATCCCAAAGAACATTTAAACATTTCTTAAAAGTACAAGTTTAGTGAAGCAAAACTATTTTACACACAGAATATTTCTTAACCACTAGGATTCAGGAATTGGAATAGACGAAAGTTACTTTTTAAAATCCATGTCTCATATTTAACTTCAATATTCTGTACATGTACACAGGATCACATTTATAATAATGTTACTTTGAAAAGGGCATGGACAACGAGAAAAGAAGCATGACAGAATGGAAATGGAAAATTAAAAAAAGAAGTTTGGTCCTTCTTTTCCCACATACATAGTTCTGCTTTTTCAAATAGGAATTACTAATACACCAGGCAATAGAGTTCAGTGGCAATATATAGTGACTTCATTAATATATCATAGAAATAGAAGAACCTGAATAAATCACAGAAATAGGAGTACTTGAAGGATATGCAGAATTCTGCATTTTTACAACCCAAGAAAGAGAGCCTACAGTACCTGTTCCACAGGCTCCCTCACTGTTTAGCTGTCTCTATGTCATTCCTGAACATCTTTTTTTTTTTTCATTATTCCCTCAGAGAATCATACACACAGGCTATTCTTTCCCAGGATAAACAATGTAACATTGAGTGTGGAAAAGGAATGAGTAATTATAAGCCAAAGAAATTAAATATATGAGATAGCTAACAACAAAGGAGGATGATCTCTGAAAGCAGTGATGTAATTAATGTAGATAATGGTTCTGCAGGAGTATCAGGCAGTTCAGTCAATCAAATAAAAGTGATAGATAAAATAGAAGATGGTTACTAAGTTGCCATTATAGGAACATGACCTTATATGGCTGCATCAGCATAGTATATTCTTCAACTCTTCAACTCCAGCAGGTTTTAAAATTATTCGCAAAAGCAAAAACTTCTTCAACTAAGCACCATCAAAATTTGTCAGAACTGCAATCCCAGAATTCTCAAGGGCTCATGCTTGCTGGAGAACCTGGAAGTTGCAGTCCGTACATACTTGGACAACCCAGATTGGTGAAGGTAGACAGAGGAAATGATTTGATAAGAACATTTTGCTCTTTTTCCTGAAGATAAAGAAGGTTTCTGGACAAAGATGACCTAAAACACAGGATCTTGTACACCAGGAGACCATTAAAGGAAATGGCTGTTGGATATTTTTGGAATAAAAAGCTATTAAGTCTGATAGAAACACATTCAAAATATTTGTGAAACATCCTCCAATAATGGTACTTGCAATATGGGCATGCTTTAATTTGTATGAATTAACAGAACTGCATTTTATTTCTGAAATGGAGTAGATATTTAAGTACTTAAGAACTTTAGAACTCTTGCATTTATTATTTACATTGATAATTCTGATAGTTATTGAGCTATATTTTTAAAAATCAAAACACTTACCAATTGCCTTTGTGTAGTGCCGTGCTCCAAGTAACAATTCTGGAGCTCTATACCAAAATGTCACCACAACTGGGTCAAGGTCTGCCAGCGGCTTGAGAGGAGAATTGAATAGCCTTGCAAAACCCATATCAGCTGCAAAATAACCAGTTTTTGTATTACACCAAACAAAATTTTTCTAAAATAAATTCTTCTATACCGCTATTCCTGATATTATCACTGCTTCATTTATCTCAAAGCTAGGCCAAGTACACAATCTTACATTGTTGGCCTGTCTAGAACTTTCCTATAGGACCTGTTTGAGGATATTACTTAGTTTATTCCTCCTCCCTTTTTAAAAAAATTAATGATTGAAAGTTACTCCACATCCCAAACACTGTATTTGCATGAACAATATGTTAACATTGCTGATAATCCTGAACATATTACCCAAAATATATGCATTTCATCCGTGTTAGGAGCTACAAACATTCCCTATTGCTAGTCCCTTAACATCATAAACTGAGTATGAGTGCTTTTGAACATGTGTGTTGATTTGAATTGACTTCATCGGTTAAGATAACATCATTATTTACTATATTATATCAAATATGTCATAAGTTAGGCCAAAAGAAAACTTCTATGTAGCTATTAGAAATCTAACTGACTTATGCAAGTCCAAACACTTTGTTATTATTAAAACAAATGTATATTATTGTTCAGATTAATAGACTTGATATAAAACCTGTAGTCAAATATTTTAATATCTAGCATAAGTACATATAAGGCTGTTATTCATGACATTCAGGACCAAAAATATGGTTCATGGCATGCAGAGCACAAATGAACCACCTAATACATTTAAAAAGTATTCAGACCCCCTTCATTTTTGTCAATTTTGTTATGCTGCAGCCTGATTCTACTATTGTTGGAATTCATTTTTCTCATTAATCTACGCTCAGTACCCCATAATGACAAAGTGAAAGCAAAAGTGAAGGGGGTCTGAATACTTTCTGAATGCACTGTATATTGCAGGCTAATTCTGCCAACTGCCAGGAGTTCAATTCTCACCGGCTCAAGATTCACTCAGTGTTCCATTCTTCCAAGGTTGGTAAAATGAGGATCCAAAATATTAGGTGCAATATGCTGAGTCTGTAAACTGTTTAGAGCAGGGGTACTCAACCCCTGATCTATGGGCCAGCAACTGGGCTGCACAAACAAGTGAAGCCCCATCTGAGGGATGCAGGCAGCACATGAAACCACACCGGCTCCGGTCCATGGAAAAACCTCTCTTCACAGAACTAGTCTCTAGTGCCCAAAAGGTTGGGGGGGGGTGGATCACTGGTTTAGAGGGTGCTGTAAGTACTGTGGAGCGGTATATAAGTCTATTGCTATTGCTATAGGTGGCTCTTTAAAATAGCTGATCTTTAGCCAGGATTGTACAACTGCTTTCTGAAACGCTGTGCAATCTGAAAAAACATGCAGCTGCTGTAGTAGTAGGCAGGAGTGGTGTGTATGTATCCCCATAAACTTCAACTACTTTTCTGCAATTGTATCTAAAGCACTAGAAAGCTTAACATTAAAGGCTTGGCAGACCAAGGTTTTTCTTGGCAGCAGTAGTCTGAGTCTATTCTTACTGGCATTATATAGATCATATTTAGACAATAACACTCAATATTATAAAGATGTTTATAGGAATCATTGTAATAGGAAAAAGAATGCAAAGTACTAAATTTTTCCTCATGAGATTTCTTTGTCAAAATGAAAGGACATGTTTTGGGGGAGGGGGCATCCCTAAACAATTAACTGATTCAAAGGAAGCTGTGCCTTTCTCCCACTGTCTCCATCAGACTTTTAGTCATTTTTTTGAACAATTTAAAAATAAGAAATAAATGTCTACTATAAAACTTGTGATAGAGATATGCCTTTTATTCTTTTGCACCAATTTAAGAAAATAAGTAAATTTAGATCCCTGTTAATTTGAGCTAGGCTACAAAGCTTTCCTAACTTCTGCCTAATTATCATATACTTAGACTAGTAAAACAGTGATATATTAAATGATAGATAAAACAGATAAATTCTATAAGTAACGAAATTGTTGCTTACCGGATATTTTTTATCTACAAAGCTCTGGAGCTTTATAGATAATAACCAGTACCATGAAATGATCTGAGCCACGCACTGGAAACCAATTTAAACACAATATGAATAGTTTTGTACAATTTAAAAAGCATCTGCCAGAAAAAAAATCCAGCTTCCCTATTTTACACTAAATGAATTTTCTGAACAATTTACAAAAGCAGTTTTGAATAAAGCAAAGTAAATGAGAAGTACTAAGGTAAGACCTTCTGTTAATGCAGATGTTAAGCATAAATGGCAGTTTATACTTTGGTTTGCATGGCTTTTAGGTCTCAAAATGGCAACATTTGGTTAGAAGGAACATTAAAAGACACATGCATTTATGTTCTATAGCAGGGATGTCAAACTGGCGACTCCTCAGGCCAGATGTGTCACGCACAGGCCACGCCCACCCCAGCTCCGTGAAGGGAAAAAATGTCACGAAATGGCATGTGACTGCAATGTGACGCTGCAAGTTCGATACCAATGTTCTATAGTAAACGCAAGTGAATTGTGTTTTAACAGAGGTGCTACATACATCTCATTATGGAATATAGTACATTATTATATTCGAGATTTTCTCACATTCACAATTCTTTTATAAAAATATATATAATATTTTTTAAAAATTACATTCACAATTCTGATTGATGAATGACAATATTTTTGCAGGAAAACAAGTAATGTCTCTGCCACAAAACGTTTTACTGGGAATTTCTGAAATAAGCAAGTCTTCTTTTTTTTTTGCTATTGACATAATCAATTATAGGATGATAAATATAAAAATATACATTTGAGTCTTGGGTCAGAGTGAACCATTTTATCATTATTGATCTCAAAAGCATGAAGCAAATGGCCAAATTTCCATTGACTCCCAAAAATATGGGGGAAAGGCCTTGAATTTAAATCCCAAGCAAAGACACAGAAACAGACTTCAATTTCTGTGTATTGCAGCAAAAATTTCTTCTGTGGAAATATGACTTCATTAAAACTAATAAAATAGCTAATGTAGTCATGTAATGTCTACGAATGTTCACAATAAGCAAGTTCATGAATATGCAGTTCAATATCTGGAGAGTAATGATCTATTGCGGTGTCTGGAAAGAAGCCTCATGATAACTAATAATTAATCTCAAGTAAACAGCTTGTACAATTCTGCTATAAATTGCTCTGTAGAGATAGATAAATAACAATTTTTGAGATTTGGCAGGTTTTGATACTGATCCACAGGAAAAAGTAATGTTTACCCACAGAGTTAAGAGCTTCAAGCTTTTAAACATTCAGTCATAGCTGAAGAAGAATACTCAGTTTTAATTGCTCCCTTTCAGTGGCTCCAAGAGCCAGAGAAACTGGTAACACCAGTCTTTAACATGCATTGTTATTAGTGCTTCAGTAGAGATCTACTCCTATTCATATCCTTAAAACTGGTTCATACATCACATCAATCCCTCTAAACAGTTTCCTGCTATTAATATACACAGAAATTTCTCATCTGCATTTCACCCATGGCTGTTTTCATTAGCTATTTCGGAGGGGTTTGGAAGTAGCCTAGAAATTTTAGAGGTAATAACAACCTACCCTAGCAACTCATTATATATTTTATAATTATTGAATAATTTTAAATGTTTTTGCACTTACCTTGTATACCAGTGCAGCACATTCTTTTTATGGTATTGTCTTTAATTAAATGAAGTACAAGTTACTACTGATCTCTGGAGAACACTGGACTTTCTCCCATATTATTTGGCACCTTACTTACCCACCTTAACAACATCCAGCTGAATTCTGGAGGCTCCTGAATGTATACAGGAAACTTATTTTCCTTTCCCATATTCTCCCATAAATTTTCCTTTGGACCCAACTATTTATACCATTTGTAAGTCAGTGTGGTTGAGATGCTTTACTTTGGATTTCTATTAATTTCTATTGCACTTATATTTATAAATACAGGTAATTATAAAACTTACCTATTTTAACTCTTCCTCTTTCAGGACCTTCTCCCATTACTAGAATATTTGCTGGTTTCTGGGAAAGTAAAGTAAAATATTCATATATCTCATGTATCATTACATTAATGTAATGGTACAGCTTTATATACAAAAAATTTAGAATGCACAGATCATGCACATTCCTCCCTTGAAATGTTATTTAAAATTGGATATAATGTATATTTCTTTCAATATAGAAATATAATTATTCTTTTTTTCTTTCTTTCTTTTTTTTTTTTTGGCAGTGGTTTGCTCTCCAAGCTTGTTTCAATTTAATTTCTAAACGTTTCGTTACCAGACTAGGTAACATCAACAGCAGGATTTTCTTGTTCTATTCTCCTTAGCTTACAAATGTCTTGTGTGCCAGTGTGGTCAGTTGGTCGTTTGATTGGTTGTTCATTTGGAGTTATATTTAAATTCTGAGCAGCTGATTGGTTCTCTTGTTGATTGGTTTTTCGAATGGTCTGGTTTCTTTTTGTAGTATTTCACAGAATTATTCTGTTTTATTTTATATGAAACCATTTGAAATTTTAAAAACCATATTATTAAAACATTGCTTCAATATAGCTTACCTCTATTTTATCTCTTCATGCCTACCCGTGTTGGCCTCTCAGGCTCCAACTTATTTGACAAAAGTTGTATTGAAATGAAAAATACAGTGTTTCGCCGAAACTAAGACCATTCCGGATAATAAGCCCAATCGGGCTCTTCAGCACATGCGTTAAAATAAGTCCCCCCCCCAAATAAGCCCCCCACCAACTACTTGCCACGCAACCAAAACGAGTTGAGGAGGTGAGGCCGGAGGAAGAGAGGGGGGGAACATGCCCTCCCCTCCCTGTTCTTCACGCCGGCCGAGTGGCTGGTCGCTGCTGCCCTGATGCATCCTACCATCGCCGCTGCCTCGTGGAGCAGGACTCTGCAAGGCTTGTTGTGCCATTGCACGCATAAACTGCAGTACCGCCACGAGCTTCATCTGGCATCCTGTCGCTTGCGACTGCGCCGGTATGTCAAACCTCACAGCAGTGCTGCCATTTGTGCGTGCAAGGGCCCAAGTCTTGCTGGAAAGCTAAGACGCACATCCCATTTCTCGCCCACCCCACTTGCCATCCCCAAATTGCATCCATAAAGGGGGCGGGTGGCTAAGCAAGGGGCAAGAGCCCAGCCATGCCTGGCAAGTGGGGGGGAGAGAAGAGACAGCAAGGGGAGCCACGTCTCACTCCACGCGTCCTGCTTCTCCCCCGCCCCACTTGTCAGAAATGAGTTTTTGTGAGATTCATCGCGCTGCCGGCACCACCTCATAGAGCAGAACTCTGCAAGGCTTATGCCCTTGCATGCACGAACGGCAGCACTACCATGAGGTTTGGCATACCGGTGCAGCCACGAGTGGCAGGATGCCAGCTGTGCCAGTATAGCAATAGGAATAGCACTTAGACTTATATACTGCTTCATACTGCTTTACAGCCCTCTCTAAGCAGTTTACAGAGTTAGCATATTGCCCCAAACAATCTCTGTCCTCATTTTACCCACCTCGGCTCAACCTTGAGTTGGTGAGATTCGATCTGCTGAACTGCAGCTAGCAGTCAGCTGAAGTAACCTGTAGTACTGTACTCTAACCACTGTGCCACCTCGGCTCTGATGAAGCTCGTAGCGGTGCTGCAGTTCATGCATACAACGCCACAACAAGCCTTGCAGAGTCTTGCTCCATGAGGCAACGGTGGTGGTGAGACACGTCAGGGCAATGGCGGCCAGCCACTTGGCCGGAGTGAAGAACAGGGAGGGGAAGTGTCAGTGACAATGGAACATCCAGTCCCATGCTCACCACCTCCTCCACCCCCAAAATAATAAGATACCACCACCCCCGATAATAAGGCCAAGTTCAGGGTTCAAAAGAAAATAAGACCCTGTCCTATTTTCGGGGAAACACAGTAGTATCCTGGAAATGCTTAAATATCTCTCTAGTCTCTTGAATTCAGGACAACCCATTGTCACTCTCTGACTGACAGCTGAAATATGTGATCTATGATCATTGTTTCTCTGCCAAGGAAAGTACAGCCAGCAATATTTTTCCTTCAACTGGAAGAATTCAATTTATGTTTATTTTCATGGCCTGTAGCTAATTTTGGAAACTAGCTTTAATTGTTCTGACTATAATCTGCACATTTTTCTTTCTGTGGAAGATACCCTGTCAAATTGTCCAAGACTCTCATTTTTTTCAAATACAAGCAATCTTTGATTTACAGCAGTTCATTTAGTAACTATTCAAAGTTATAACGGCACTAAAAAAGTGACTTATGACCGTTTCTCACACTTATGATGCTTGCAGTATCCCCATGGTCACATGATCAAAATTCTGACACTTGGCAACTGATTCATATTTATGAGTGTCCTGGGATCATGGGATCAGCTTTTGCGACCTTCTGACAAGAAAAGTCAATAGGGAAACCAGATAACAACCGTGTCACTAACTTAACTGCAGTAACAATTCACTTAACAATTGTGACAAGAAAGATCATAAAAAGGGGCAAATTCATTTAACCAATGTCTCACTTAGCAAATTTTGGGTTCAATTGTGGTCGCAAGTCGAGGACTACCTGTAAAGATACCATCATCTGCATCTAAATCAGTTTTATTTCGTATTAGCAACTTTAAGATGTGGACTTTAACTCCCAATATTCCCTACCCAGGGAGTTTAAATTCACACATATTAAAGTTACTGAGATTGAGAAACAGTGGTCTAAACCTTTACTTGGACAATGACAGGCTATTAAGCTCACTATGCCACTGAGAAATTCTTTTCCCAGACAAGTTTTCCAGTGTATTATGTATCTCTCCCCACCCGAACTCTAATCTCTCGTTGACCAGCTTCTTCTGATTTATTTTGTAATTTGGCTTTTCTCTTACCATTTAAAAATCCTTCCCTCCTGCAAAGTCTCTGTTCCCATCCTTATTTCTCCCTTTCAGATACTTTCCAAAGGTATTCCACTAAACAAGTCAAAATTCCTAATGTTTCTTGACCTCTGCTTAATATTTATGAAACATTCCAGTCCTGAAGGCACCAATACAACCCTCAGTTTGTCAGAACAGAGCAAGGGAGACAAAGAGAAGCAAAAGTTAGGAAGAACTGAGCTCTTTGTTGTTTATTTATCTACTACGTTTATGTGCCTCTCCAATCAAAAACTGATTCTGAGAGGCTCATGTACTTCATTCAGTAACCCAATTAAAAATATCAAATGATAACAGTAACAAAGCAACAATTACAATCAAGGGGGGAAATTTACAAATATTTCCCTACAGGAAAGAACCATGCTATCTTTCAAGCTTGCTGAAAGAGCCAAATCTTAATGGTTTTATTGGCTCTCTGGTGTGCAGGGAGGACATTACATTTCTAAAAGGGCAGCATTTCAGAAAAGGGGGCAATGACAGAGAATGCTTCCTTGCAAATTCAGTCTTGCAGGGCTTGTGCCCCAAACAAGGAGAATAGGCTGATCAATTAGTATGACAACACAGTTAGAGAAAACATAGTTTTTTGAGATCACATTTCTAAGATACTATTATCTACAGGTAGTCCTCGACTTACAACCTTTATTTATTTATCTATCTATCTATCTATCTATCTATCTATCTATCTATCTATCTATCTATCTATCTATCATATTTGTATACCGCCCTACTCCCGAAGGACTCAGGGCGGTGAACATCCAAAAATAAAATACAAAGACATACAAAAATTAAAAACTATTAAAAACAGATTAAATAATTTAGGCTCAGAGATTAAAAACATCCAATTTATCTAAAAGAGATTTTAATACCCAATTTAAAAGCCAATTTCAAAGCTAATTTAAAAGGAGAGTTAGGCCAGACCAGCCTGTTGGAATAAAAATGTTTTTAGGGCGCGGCGGAAGATGCGTAAGTCTTGGATCCTCCGTATCTCCGGGGGGAGCTCGTTCCAGATGGCAGGTGCCCCCACAGAGAAGGCTCTCCCCCTGGGGGCCGCCAGTCGACATTGTTTGGCCGACGGCACCCCGAGGAGTCCCTCTCTATGGGAGCGAACTGGTCGGTGAGAGGCTATTGGTGGCAGGAGGCGGTCTCGTAAGTACCCTGGTCCTGAGCCATGGAGCGCTCTAAAGGTAGTAACCAAAACTTTGAAGCGCACCCGGAAGACCACCAGGAGCCAGTGCAGCTCGCGTAAGAGGGGGGTCACATGAGAGCGCCATATTGCTCCCATCACCACCCGCGCGGCCGCATTCTAGACCAGTTGGAGTCTCCGGGTGTTCCTCAAGGGAAGCCCCATGTAGAGAGCATTACAATAATCCAGGCGTGAGGTGACAAGGGCGTGAGTGACCGTGCGTAACGAGTCCCGATCCAGAAAGGGACGCAACTGGCGAATCAGGCGAACCTGATAAAAAGTCCTCCTGGCTACGGCCGCCATATGTTCTTCTAAGGACAGCCGCGAGTCCAGGAGGACGCCCAAGTTGCGAACCCCATCTGTGGGGGCCAACGACTCGCCCCCAATAGTCAGAGATGGCGCCAACTGACTATATCGGGACGACGGAAACCACAGCCACTCAGTCTTGGATGGATTGAGCCTGAGCCTGTTCCTCCCCATCCAGATCCGTACGGCCTCCAGGCACCGGGACATCACCTCGAGGGCATCATTGGGGTGGTCTGGGGTGGAGATGTACAGCTGGGTGTCATCAGCGTACTGATGGTACTTCACCCCAAAACCACGGATGATCTCACCCAGCGGCTTCACATAAATGTTGAACAGAAGGGGTGAGAGGACCGATCCTTGCGGCACCCCACATATAAGGGGCCTCGGGGTCGACCTCTGCCCCCCTGTCAACACAGACTGCGATCGGTCAGAGAGAAAGGAGGAGAACCACTGTAAAACAGTGCCTCCCACCCCCAACCCCTCCAACCGGTGCAGCATGATATCATGGTCGATAGTATCAAAAGCCGCTGAGAGGTCTAATAGGACCAGGACAGAGGAGCAACCCCTGTCCCGAGCCCTCCAGAGATCATCAACCAATGCGACCA